AACACATTTAAGGTAAAGGAATTACAAAGCTTAGCAGTTTTCAGAAGAACCATTTTAAAAAGTTTGCATTTCAAGTTTAAACTTGTTTAAAAGACTTTAATTATAGAAAGCCATTTTCTCACTCTTGGCCAAGACCTGTTTTCCTTGAAGATAATTAATACAAGACTAGCTGGACAGAAGTGAGGGATACAAGACCAGTGGTAAAATTGAATTATTAACAGTTCAGAGGGAATGAACAGAAAGAAATGAGAGCAGAGAAGCTAGCAGAGCCTGAAAGGTTAGGTTACAAAGCTTGAACATGACACAGAAAAAAGAAAAGGATCCAGTGAAAGAATCCAAGGGGAGTGAAATGGTCTAAGTAGCTAAATTGTGTGATTTGTGTGATATAGGCAAAATTAAGACTAGCAGATTGCCACTATGTATCAATCTAATTAGCTTAATATCCTGCCTCCAGCCATAGCTAGTACCTGAAGCTGCAGAAAAGTGCATTTCTCTCCCAAATAAGTCAACAGGTTCAATGATTTTATGCAGTGAAAACGTATTAACTCTCTGTGCACTGAAGCAAGAGATTTAATTATTCTTAAATTTATGGAGCCACATGTATTATGTTCCACATTAATTACCATCCTTTCTGGAAGAAATGAATTACCTGCTTTTTGACGAGTGTTACTGCCACTGTAGTGGAAATGAATGTCACCATTTCAAAATTGCATACCTTTTCCAAACCAGTCCTTCCAGACGGAAATGACAAATTAAATTTCTTTGCACCAGATACTTTCTCCCCTCTTCATCCTCTATAGGTGGAATCAACAGCTCCATAGAAACTTATTCCGATATGTACAGAAAACTATATTTACATAAGATGATCAAATTTCTATTAAAGGCTTCCAAAGTCAACTGGAAAGAGACTGGTCCAATTTTGACATACCATCAAAGACAGTAGTATCATTACTGCCTGTCAGTTCGACGGTTTTGAACGTTGGAAGAGTCTTCAGCGGATGGCTGGAAGTAGCTGTAATAAAAAGTAAGTCGAGTGTTTGAGAATGCCAGAGGGACATGCTGTCTTGGTGATGTGATGCATCATTAAGTGAAGAAGGATTCACACAGATTTCATAATTTAAAAAAACAAAACAAAAGGGATATGGGAAAAAAAAAAAATCGGTAACTTTGAGAACAAGAAACTTATGCTTTACCTTCTGTAGTGGTTACATAACTCTCAGCATGTGTGTGTGTCTCCAAACCTGTATATCTAGAAGCTGCTAAGAGAAGAAACATAACAATATTTTAATTCAGGATGCCACTTTCTTCCAAAAAGTCAAGCATAGAATCTAAGAGTGGAATATTGTTGTTCATACCTGGAACAGGCCACCTGGTTTTTTACTAGGGCTATGCGAAGCTTCGGTCCCCTATTTGATTCAGTGGAGACTTGGCCCAATTTGGTGGCCGAATCTCTGAATCGAATCAGAGGACCCTTTAATCTCTCCGAATCGAATCAGAACCCTCCGAATCAATTTGGAGAGATTTGGCGATTCAGACAAACACAGCTTTAAATGTTTTTTCTAAATACCTCTAGGTAGCAAGGGCTCTGACTGCTGCGGTGCTGGGGCGCATGGAGCAACCCACAGAAGCGCAAGGGCTCCCCAGCACGTTTGGCAGCAGACCTGGAAGTGGACCAGAGGCACTTCTGATTCACTACTGCCTCCACTGGACAGCACACTGGGGCCCCCCCCCACTCCGCCCCCTGGCTCAGTGACTGGTGCTTTCTCAGTTTGGGGGGGCACCCAGGGCCCCCCTGCAGCCAATCGCTGAGCTGGGGGGGTGCAGGGTCCCCCCCAATGTGCTCCCCGACAGTCCTGGAAGCTGACCAGAAGTGCCTCTGGTCCATTTCCGGGTCTGCTGCTGAGCGTGATGGGGAGCCCCTTGCGCTCCTGTTGGATGCTCCATGTGCCCCGGCATCACAGTGTTCACAAGCCATGCCTGGTACCTCAAGACATGTAGAAAAAACATTTAAAGCTGTGTCTTTGGCTGAATCACTGGTTCTCTGAATCAGCATTGAATCTTCAGATTTGGCCGAATAGAATCAGGCACAGCAATCCGAATCAACGAGTCGAATCACTGTCCCCAATTCCGGCCAAATCTGAATTGAATACGGCCTGTTTCACATGCCCGTACTTTTTACCACGCCAGAGGAAGTTTAGCATGTGAGCTATGAGAGATTCAACTCTGCAGGGGCAAAAGGTAGCTCAAGATTTAATCAAAAACCTTGACAAAAAATAAACTTCAAAAAGGGGGGGGAAGCATTTCAGTAGTTAGAATTATTTTACACAAGAAAATATTTTAGAAGACAGACATAGGGCACTAAAAACCTTTCAAATAGACATTTTAATGAGGAACACAGGATCTAGCTCTTGTCTTTTTGACAGAGTGCATAAGAGCTCTGGGAACGGATCTCTAAGCACTTCACAGTTAATTGGTCTTCCACTAACAGCTCCCCAGAAAATGCATGAGATATTTAACAATATTGAATTCAGCTGCTATGCTTACTACCTTGTAATAACTCCTGTATACTCTCCAAGGTAGTGGTAGCTTTCATTTCCAGACAGTGAGCAAAGCTGCATAGTGCTTTGCTACGGACTGTAGGTGCCTTGTCTGAACAGCGGCCAAACACCATGATCTGCACCAGAAACTTGTGCTTTAGAAACTTCTGATGTTCTGGAGACAAGGAGCTGTCTGGTTCCCTCTCAGGCAAATCTAACAGTGCCAAAGCTATATCAAGCGCAAACACTCTGTAGGAGATCTGTTGAAGTAAAGAACACAACTTTCTCAATTACAGAAATGTTAAAAGCAAAGAAACATCTATTGTTAAACTAGACTTCAGTGACTACTGGATATCAACAAAAAGGAGAATGCTATTTAGTTTTTAAACAGCACTTGTCAAGTCCAAAGTATTTTGTGCCCCAAGATCTGATGTACATAGAAGGATCTCCACTTACTTTGGTGTTGTGTGAATATCTGTAGAGCCAAGACATAAAGTCAGCATATGCTGCACAAGGAAGTTTATTTAGCAACTGCACCAGAGCCTGGGCAGCGTATGTACGATACTCAGACTTATCTGGGACCTGCAACACAAGGACAAAAATATTTGCTGATACCAACATTCTATTAGTCTGTTACGGTAGCTAAAATGTCTCTGTCTTCAATATAACTATCACCTTTTCAAGGAGGTAACAAGGTCTCAGACAAACACAAGACTGGAATATGGGACATCTAACTTTTAAGCTTGCTTTTGATATTGGCTCAACATGTGGCCTCAGGGAAGGTGCAACTACTGTACAAAGCCAAGAGTCTCTCTTTGTAAAATGAAAGAATCAGAGTTTTCTAAGGAGGCTGTGAAGACTGCCTCCATTCATATCAAGTGTTTCTAAATGAGAGTCTCTAGACAGCTGGCTGGTCATAGGGTTCTTGTAATCTTGCTTCTGGCTACCAAACTTGCAATAATGGTAATGCATATGCACTAGAGTAGTTACCTAACTTTACTTGGTCACATAAGCAATTGCTTTGTCATAGGATTATTCATTTATTTGTAGGCTGTCAATTGGAAGTATCAAGTGTCCATGAATAACTTTCCCTTAAAATATGGTTCATACTAGGAAAACTATCTGAGAACCCATACAGTTCAAATATTAAACCAAATTAAAAGACTGAAAATCTTATGATAAAGTGAATAGCACACTTAAATAATAAACAGACACTCCCTTGTGAAATATTTCACTGTTTAAAAATGTGAGAAAATGGATGCTCCATACCCATTTATAGGCATCACAATTTATCCAAGAATAGGGTTGCTGTCTTTAGACCCAAGATGTATGAAAACTTAGCCTACCTTGGCACAGATATGCTGCAGTAAGATACGGAGCACAGGAAAGGCAACCTCCTTCAGTTCATCTACAACAGCACTGCGCAAGATAGAAACAAGCACCTTGGAATAGGTCATTTCATAATAGGAGGCAAAACTGAAGCCCAAAGGCATATTTCCTGAAAATGTTATTTTTTAGAAGGAAAATTGGGATATGTTCTTGTGTAAGATACCATGAAGGATGGTAAAAAACTAAGTGGAAGATGAAGAGAGAATTAAGGAAGGATGAACTCCTAGCAAGTGCCTGCCTCACCCCATTTTGAAGTAAGTTAAAAATACCCTCAGAAAGTTCTGCAAAATCTAGAACAGGAGATATGCTACCCACCCTCACTATGACTCTTCCAACATTTGGTGTCCTCTTTCCCAAAATAAACTCCCATTACAGACACCAGAACTGACCCAAAACTACAGAACTCTGCAACTACAGAACTCTGCACTCTACCTGATAAATTTTATTGTTTGATTCCTGATACTGACAACTTGAGATGTGGCAACAAGGACTGTGGTCCTGGATCCTTTTCCCCCTTCTATCATGAGGATGACATTTAGGATCCGATGGAAGATCTGGCGAAGAATCTTGAAGAAACATACACAACGAGAAAGACAAACCACAACAACGTCAGGTACAGAAGAGCCTTCCATTCTGGTTAATGAAGTGATAAACAAAAAATCAGATAAGTTTATGCTACCAATATCTCCTAACCAAATACCAGTCCAAACTGAATCATTTAAGAGGAAAGCCACAGATACATAAAGCATTTTCTTATGCTGGGGGTACACTAAACATAACAGAACTCATACAAGCCTGATAAGATCTAAAAGTTACTCCCTTCACAGGGACAACAGAAATAAAAAAAGCATAGTTGTCGTACTGGAAACTAAATCCGTCTTAACAGAAACACACAGAATATACAGTCATAGAAAATTAGGGTTGGAAGTGACCTCAGCAGGTCATCTACTTCAACCCCTGCTCAAAGCAGAACCCTGCAAGAATGGAGATTTCACAATCTCTCTGGGTAACCTGTTCCAGTACTCTACTGTCCTCCTAGTGAAAAAGTGTTCCTGATATCTAACCTAAAACTTCCCTTGCTGGAACTTGAGACCATTGCTGCTTGTTCTGCCATCTGCAACCACTGAGAACAGTCCAGCTCCTTCCTCTTTGGAACCACCCTTCAGGTAGTTGAAGGCTGCTATTGAATCACCTCTCAGTCTTCTCTTCTGCAGATTAAATAAGCCCAGGTCCCTCAGCCTCTCCTCAGAAATTATATGCCCCAGTCCCCTCACCATTTGCACTGCCCTCCACTGGACTCTCTCCAATTTGTCTCCATTCCACACTTGCCTTACTTTAGTGGTCTTCCCCAGCCTATGCTTTATCCTCGTATCATCTGAGCAGAGTCCTAGTAAAGAGGACTCAAGTTCTGACCAGACAAGCACTAGAGGTTCCTAGACATTGTATAATTCAGAAAATCATGCATACTTTCTAAGGGTGTCCCCACCTCGTAAAGCCAGACTCAAGTTAGGTTTAAACCTCAGTAGCTCAGGTACTGCTAATAATCTAGCCATGGCAGCAGGGAGCCCAGCGCAGGCTGCAAAACCCACCTGAATAACCACCCAAATATTTATTTTGCTAGTCTGTGCTGTGCTCTGCATTTCCCTGTGCAGCTAGCTGGCTAGCTGTGGTAGTCTACATTATAGAACAATCTATGCAGTGAGAGGAGGCCAACAGAAATAGAAGCAATATGCAGATAACTGAGAATTTATGCAGCGTGCTTCATTTAACAAAAATAAAAATGTGCAGCTGCAGACTTTCAGTAGAATTGAATGCTCCTATACGGAATGATAGTAGTCAATGAATTCTCATTAGCCCTGCTTACTGTAATGTGTGTTTGTCAGGGGTGGGCAATTATTTGGGCTAGAGGGCCGTTAAGGAGTTCTGGTGAGCTGCTGCAAGCCGGCGGGGGGGGATGACGACAACTCCAATTGATCCTATCTGGGGACTCTAGATGGAATGGGCAGGCAGGTAGGATCTCTATGGAGGTCCATGGGCAGGGCATGGTTGGCTGGGCAGATGGGATGGGGCTATGGGTAGGCAGACAGCAGGATAGGTAGGGTGGTGACAGTACACGGTCAGGGCCCAGGGCTGAGCCACAAGCCACTCCCCATGTCCCTGTGTTGGGCACTGGTTTCATGGGCAGGGATGTGCAGGAAGTGGATCGTGGCTTTGCCACAGGCTCCAGCCCCATGCTATCACTGGCCCTGCGATCCCAGCACTGGCTTCAGCCCTGCCCGCCTGTCTTGCTCTTGTATGCCACTCCCCACCTGCCCGCAGCACCACCCCATCCACCCCGTTGAGCATGCCTTGCCAGCAGGGGTCTTGGGCCAGTTTCCATGGCAATCCCACCCGACCACTCTGTCTGGCACCTCCAGTGGTAGATGTGGGGCAGATGGGCCAGGTTACCCAGGCAGCACTGCCCTTGGTGCACACAGGGCAGAGGAACTGGCTACACATGCTACAGCATGGACTGCCCCCTGCAACTGGGCCAGGAGGGGCCGAGGGACCCGCTGCAGGCCAGACAGAATCCCTTGGTATGCCAGATCCAGCTGGTGGGTCGTATTTTGCCCACTCCTGGTGTATGTGATATTTGTCACATCTCCCAGCTCACTATCAGCTTACAGTCCCATAATATATACTGACAAATGATATCAGAGCTCCATCTAGCAGGAAGCAAAATTCAAAGCCAGTCAATGTTAAAATGATCTATTCTAAGATATGGAGATGCAGTTTTACAGAGATATGCTTATCATGAAACAACTGTCAAAATGTTTTCCAACTATTGAGTTTAGGTACACTTGATGTATCAATGAAGTCATAGGAAATAAGAATAAGAAACAGAAGTTTATCTAGCCCATCTCTTTCTGGGAAAAAAGGCACGTAACAAAAATGACATAAAAAGGGGGAAAAATAATTGCATTTTTTTCTAAGTATAAATCCAGACCTGAAAAGGTTTTGTTAAGACTTTTACCTTATCTTCTACACCATGTAGTGGGGAGCACAGCAACCGTAGCCCATGATAAGCCAGTTCTGGGACATACTTTGCTTGATTAATGTTCCTAAGCAAAAGAACATGTTGAGATGTCTTCGGTGTTTACTAGATATGCATTTACTTTAATTAAATGATTAAACATACTCATTACTAACTGGAAGCCCTTGATTAAAATTCAGTGAATGCTGTTTACATGCCATCTAGGAAGAATACATTCCAATTATCTCTCAAGAAGAAAGAAATCACTGTTTCCATTTTAATATAAACAGAACAATACAAATACACACATTTAGTGCTTTAGCTTGTCAAATCACTATATTAAGAAGTAACAGCTCACCTTGTTCCTGAAAACTCAATCTCGTGCACTACAGGCTCAAAACTTGTCAGTTCAACGAAGATCTGCAAGACAGAGTTAGGAAAGTGAGAGTCTGTAAAAGGGAGTGTTGCAGGTGTGTTTGTAAGCCAAGTGCCTAGAAGTCTTAGTTACCTGCAGGCAATTCTGCACACACTGAGGTTTCTCTTTCAGGGAAAATTTGGATAGAAGTCTTAAGAAGTTTTTCATGAGAAGAAAGACTGCCTGACGAATTTGAAGTAGATCTTGTGCTGAAAAATAAACCTCTTCCTGATTCTCCTCCTCCTCAAAAATCTCATCCATCTAGATTAGCAGAAAGCAAAGACATCATTTCTCAGTGTGGTCTTTAATAGAAAGCAAACATTGTCTTAGTGCTTCTCAGATACTCTGACACTAGAACCTATTTCACAATACTAAAGGAGAACTGGAATTCATCCAAAATACCAAACTTTAGTGTTAGGGAGGAAAGGGGGACAGGAAGGGGAATAGACACACATAAAATCCATGCTACTTAGCCTCATCTGAAAAGTTCACATAGGAAAATGCTTGTAAAATTACGGGCATGCGTGTTAATTCTGATCTCGGTCTATACAAAACGGATTCTTGCAGAATCCTCTCAAATTAACAAATATAGCAAAGATTTTATAAAAGCTAGAACTTTTTCAGAGCTGCTCTCACAGAAGTTCAATGCACTCCACAGCTGCTTGAAAGTACGCAGCCCTCCAGCTTGCATTATTAGATTAATACAAACATTCCAATACCCTTAGGCCTTGTCCCACTCCCATGCTGACAGAACAAGTGCATACTCATGCATGCACTTGTGGTGGCTGTATGGCTCCATTACAGCAGCTGTACTATCGGAATATCATGTGCGTGTTGGAAAGGCACCAACTGGGCAGCTGTCAAGTGTGGGAGTGCCTACAAGTGCCTTTGGCTACCTGTGGATCTTGTCAGAAACCTTTATCTGCTCCAAAGAAAGGAAGATTCTGCTGCTACACAAGAACTTTTGAGTGCAGACACTCAAAGTTTTGCTGGTTAATCTTTGCAGTATACATTAGGGTCCCATCCCCTACTAATGTGCAGGTCTATTATGTAACTGAGACCAGCTCTACAAGTTGTCATTAAGTCTCATTTTGACTTGAGATGAATGATGATTTTGCTACTGATACTAGTTTAAGAGCATTTGGCCCCTGGAATTATATGTCTGAAGAGATAAGACCATCTTCTTACCTCAGAGATGTCCCTTCTGTTTGGCCTTCCTCTTTTTGTATTTCTTGTATTAGCCTGAGAACCTTTTCCATGGTTCTTTTTCCTCTTTCTGGTCAAATCAGATTCCTGAGGCCAGGTTTTTTGCAGGGTTTCAAGACATTTGTCAAACATCACTTGGTGGAACACCCGATTAGCTACACTGCCTGTCCAGAAACCAAAAAGACAACAGGATTTTAGTCATGTTCAGAACATAACTATTAACACAGAAAAAGATAAGATAATCGCACTGTACAAATGGAACAGATAGTCAATTGGATATCTGGAACACAAGTGCCACCCTAGTACTCTGAATACATTTAGAACAGTGGTTCTCAGCCTTTTCAGACTCAAGACACCTCTGGATAGACTTGAGTCCCCTCTCAAAAAATGCCAGCTACCAGTTATGACTTTTCAACTACAGAAAAATAAAAGAGTGTTTGTCTGTTGCAAAAAAAAACTCAGGAAGACTACAACTTTGGATTCCATAGTCTACAACTATGGACTTCTATTTAAAATCTCTGGGTATATCTTATGAAACATGCTTGCATACCTAACAGCGCTAACATTATGTGGCACAGCACACAACCCTTGAAAGGATTTCAAGGCATCCCAGGGTGCTGCAGCACCCTGGTTGAAAATCACTGATTTAGAAGGTGAATGAAAACTTTTCTGTAAAAAAAAACAAAACTACACTGCAGCAGCAACTGAAGTCAGCAATGAGATTATCGGTGCTATTCAAAATAGGATGATCAATCAATTTGGGATGTGCTGCATTAAAAAAAAAAAGAAGCAAATGGTAAAACAAGAGCTCACCATGAAATACATAAGCTCATTGACAAACACCCAGGTTAAAGAAAAAGTGCTGTGATACTGGTTGCAAGAAAAATACATTATAGAAAACTAACTACCTTTTACTTAAATTAGAGAATTTTGCTTTCATGCATAAGCCAGGCTGGCAGCTGTGGAGAGCTATATCCTCTCTACCTACAGAAGAGATACAGCATAAGAAATCGGCAGTACAAGCTCTCTTGTCAATGTGCTTCATGTCAATCAAGTAAGGGCAGGGTGGAGGCTGGGCCTGCTTCTTTCCAGACCTGAGGAAAGACATTGTGTCTTACATCTCTCCCAACTATACAACAGACCCAATAAAAAATATTACCAAACATCATTTCTCACACATTCCCTGGACCATCATGACTACAACACTATGTCCCTTCTATCAGATCATAATGACTTTCCCAGCACAACACATCTTGAAACAGTCTTGACCTTGAGGGCAACAGCTAAAAAATAACTATCCCAACTTATATTCTTATGAACAAGAGATAGATAAAAGTATGGTCCAAGCAGGCAACTCTGCAAAAGACAGAAAGGCAAATCCATCTACTTACCTGGAATTTCAAGCAATAAGAAGTACAACCCAGCAGCATGGAGAGCACAAACCCGCTGCTGTACATTAGCCCTTTTATGCTGGCCCATTTGGACAAAATGATACAAGATGGCCACAAGAGCATTGTGGGATAGGTTGTTCTCAGCAAAAAGGGTCCAGACACTCTGAGACAAAGCAGAAAACTAACAGTGAGTAACCTGCACACTAATCTATACCTGTCACTACTCATCATCAAAGTTACAAAAATGATACACAGGGCTATGATACTGGTCGCAAGAAAAATGTGTTATTTACAGACTGGAGTCCTTTTCAAGTTAAAGCAAGACGTTTAGAATAATCAACCTTGTTTAGATTTTCTTTTGTGACTCAGAAGTAACAGATGGAAGATAATATATTAAAATAATTATGTTGATGTTTAAACATAACTTAATTGGAAAAATATGTATGAACTGTGACAGTATATTTGTTCAGCAACTAGCATTAAGATTCTCAACAGTTATCATTCTGTCCTTTCCTCCTATGTTAAGGTTTTTTAGTGAATAAGCTCTCTTAGAAACATCTTAATATGCCAAACAGATTGAGATTTTGAAGCTTGTACAAAGCATAAGCTGCTCATTCTGAGGTCAAAAACTTCAATTAAAGTTACTACAGAAAAGCAGGGAAAAGTTGAACAACGGAAGTACACAGGAGGGACCTCTGTGCTAATACATAAGGACCTGGATAATTTGTGCCTTACCTCAGTGGTCCCATGATCCTCCGCAGCAAAAGGATAGAGAGTCTCATACAGCCGAGTGAAAGCATCAAGCCCATCCTCTGTGATTCCCTCTTCTACTCTGGAATCCAGAGGCTCTGCTTCTGTGAAATCTAAATCCCAGACAGTGTCCACCCAGGCTTGGGAAAAACAAAACACAAACTCTAGATCAACAATTAAATAAAATATATTTACACAATACCTTCCATTCCAAAACAGCTTATAAACTTTAAACAAACAAAAACAAAAAACTTTACTTGTTAACAACATGCCGGCACTAGTTTATAAACATAGAACAAGTTGAGGTAGAAACAGTTATTTACTTTGTGAACCAGTGTTAGGCCAGAGAGAGATAACCCTTTAAAAAAAAAAAAAAGTTCTTATTTGATGTATTACATGTACTTATTTAAAGCTCTACAAGCACAAAAATAGTTAACAAAAATTCACACAAAAATGGAGCTGAATCAGTGTCCAAATATGAGCTGCTTCATGTCACTTAGAATGAAGTCTCCACCTATACCATATCCTTGTGGAAAGAGATAAATTCTATATGCTTTACAAGATGCAATACAGATCTTCAATTCTATACTACTATAATAGCGGAAAAAAGAACTTCAGAGTTAAAGACTCTTGTTTCAAAATATCTTATTGTAGCCTCTTCTATGACAGTGTGCCAGTTGAGAAGTCTCAAATAATCAAAATGGTTTGCTTCTTTTTGTTTCAAACAGGGTCTTAAAACATTCAGAGTTTTACAGCTGAAAACAATAAAAGCCACTAGCTCTTATCCCAATGCATATATTAGCAAATGTAAAATAATGCAGTATGCTCCATGAGAAATCAGAACAAACTACCAGAGGCTCAGAAAGTAGCCGTACATACATACCCATGTACGTATTGTTTTGTGCCGTGACAGTCCATGCCCTATTTTCTTTGTAAAGGGATCAAGCAATTACAAAAGGGAGAAAAGAATGTTTCAGTTCATAGATTCATAGAGCAGTAGGGCTGGAAGGGACCTCTATTCATTCTCTAGTCCAGCATTTCTCAAAACTATATGAAAGGGTCCTGAACAAACTTTAAAAATGGATCAACAAATTGGAATCTTCTTCTTTAAGAGAGAGACATGTGGGAAACCAAGGCTTTTCCCTTGCAGGCTGGCAAAGCTCCAGCCTGTGAGCGGCTGCTTGGGGCCTAGAAGAATTTTTGGGCCAATACTGACAGCTAATTTTTAAGAAGCCATATCAGCTGATACTGATCTGATTGCCGATATGCGGCCCGGCCAGTGTTGGGTTGATAAGGCTGTTGTAGGTGAAGGGGGGGCAAAGGAAGGGGCGAGGGGGTCAGAGGGCAGATTAAGGTCCCTGCGGCGGTGAGGGAGGGAGTGGGGCTGAGGCAGGCGCTGCACAGCCGGGGGAGGGCACGGGACAGAGCCCCAAGCAACTCGTATGAGGAGCATGGGAAGGCTACATGCACCTTGGGAGGGCATGAAGGATGTGCACGCCTGGACCTGTGCATGGGGTGAGGGTAGGCTGCCGCTGCAGGCTGGGACCAGGGCTGCGCCGGGCTCTTCCCAGCACAGGGCTGAGCCAGGTTGCGCTCTGGGTGGGAAGTGGCAGCACTGGGAGGGGAGTTGGGGGGAATTGCAGCCACCCCAAAGTTTGGTGCCACCCAGAACTGCATCCACTCCAAACCTCCCTCCCAGTGCCGACACCTCTTGCTCTAAGTGCAACCCGCCCCAATCCCCCACCCAGAAGAGCCCAACCCAGCCCTGGCCCCAGCCCGCCTTTGCCCTATGTGCCCTCAGCAGCAGGGGCCGTCCCCTGACAAGCCATTTCCGGCTCCATCCCGTGCTGTGCCCCACCCTGCCCCACTTCCTCCCTCACTGCCGGGGGCCTTGATCTACACCCCACCATGCCCCTTCCCCCACAACAACCAGCAGGACTGCGCTTGTGGGCAGACTTACCAGCTGGCGTGCTGCTGCTGCAAAAGGTTGTTAATGCACGTTTAAGAGATCCAAGACCCTGGCTACAGAGGGAAGTCAAACCCCTCATAGATCAAATTCCCTCCTGGCCCCAAATACAGCCATCAGCCCCCCGAGAGGAGGGAAGGACCCGCCCTTCAGTCTTCTCATAACAGATTAACAGGGGCATTCATCTCTCTGCGACCCAGGCGCAGGTGGAAATTGACACTGACCCCGCAATATCTGCATGTGGAAACAGACATTGACCCCGCAGTATTTGCATGTGGAAACAGACACTGACCCCACAGTATTTGCATGTGGAAACAGACACTGACCCCGCAGTATCTGCACAGGGGCTCAAACCCATCCAGCCCCACTTGCCAAACCCGGCACTCACCCGCACCGACGCGGCGCAGCCCCCAAGCCTCCAG